GTCTTGCAGGCTCATCAATTAGCATCCATGCAAGCGCAGGCGTACAACGGCGGGAACGCCACCGCGCCGCCTGCCAGTAACGAGGAAGAGGAAGACGAAGACGATGAATATGATTATGACTATGAGTCCCTTTCTGACGGTAAGAGAAGCAGAGCCAGCTCTGTGCAGGAAAATGATTGGGTAATTTTCATTTCTTCCCCCAAAACTTAAGTCAAGTCCACAGAGGAGCAATACAGACTGTTACAGCGTTGTCTGCGAGTTCTGAGCCCAGTCACTTAGCAAGGACCTTGGGGAGAAAAGGACTCTGTTAGTCCCTCCAGCTACAGCTCAAGAAAGAAGAGGATGATGTAGAAAGCAGCGAGGGAGGGAGGGGTGATTGCTAACCTGAGTTTCCAAAGGGAAGATGGAGTGATAGCCGAGAGGATCCGTTTTCATCCTCTCATTTTCTGGTAGGGCTGAGGCTCTTGGCTGGAATTTTAACTGTCACTAAATTCTGGGTCCAGCACCACCTGCAGAGGGTGGCATTACCACTCTGCTCCAGCTGTTCGCACTGGGGACTGTTACTCTGGTGTGTAGAAAAGAAGGGTACCTAGAGTATAGAAAAGAAGGGAACCTCCGCCCCTTCCCTTCATGGCTCTCAGATGACAAGCAACAAGACATTACCTTCTCGTTCCACCGAAGAGAAGAAACAGGAGTGATGGCTAATGGCACAATACAAAATAGCCATAAAAATGACATTAGCCAAAGACTCCTAGGAAGGATTCTCTCCTGGGAGAACTAGGTTTCAAGTGTATTTCATACGCACTTAATTAGTGTTCTTTGCTGGAGTTGGCCCAGTGTTTTCTCTAGTGCCACTGCTGACAGTAGACTGTTTCACCTCAGCAACTTCTGAAAGACAGCAACGTCTTTAATGAGAAAATGCCATTAATGAGAAAATGCCACGGTTCCTGTTTACATAAACAGAATTGCTTGGAGTATGTTTTTACACAGGCTACTTCTTTGTATTTATTGTGGAGATCCCCCCAGTCTAGCCACCAATTACCACTGACACTGAGGTAGCCAAGCCACCCTGCTCTAAGCCATCTGCTTCTCCTCTCAGTTGTGTTCAGTCGTGTTTGAGGGCCACAAATATGCATCATCAGCGACAAGTCCAGTATCTTTCTGTCCCAGTGGCTCTATTTAATATTTGTCCTTCACTATAGTTGACTCCTTACATCAACTAAAGACCAATTTATTGACCTGAATCTCTGTAAGACAGCAGGCATATCTTATTAGATGACAAGGACAAAATTGAAAGAGTCAGGGCAGTTTCTTTACAGCCTAGTCCTCAAAATCATGGGAATGTGGACAATGTTATGTAGATATATTCTTCCCCTGGATTTTCTACTACAGTTGTGGTAATGACCTGTAGAACAAATCGATTCCGAATATGATACGAAAGCCACACTTGAAAAATCAACCAATCTGTCTGTCATTTGCCTCTTTAAGAAGTTAGTCCACTGAAGACAACTTCACTCACCTTCACAAGTGAATTCTGTGTTTTTTTCTGTACTTGTAAACACAAGAAAATAAGTGGCTTTTAAAAATCATTATTATTATAAATGCTTTTGATTTGCAAATAACCAACCAGTGGGAGAAGGCTCTTTGTGATTTATATTGAGTTTGGAAAATAAAATTTAATCTTAGTTCCACTGAACTTCCAAGACAGTTGCTCGTATTTGTGAAACCCTTGCATGCTAGGCTGTGCCCGCAATAGGCAGGGCCCGCCTCCCCGCCTGCTGCGGAGGTACATGAGAACTGAGGCAGCGTCTTTTCATTACTCTCGGGCTTAGCTCGTTTACAGCCTGGTGGAAAGTTGCTGAGGGGTGTTGGGAGAGGCCCTCCCTTCACGTCTAGTGCTAACATCCGTGAGCTGTGACAATTTAGAGTCCACTACCACCACGTGGTATCTCCGGTCTCACTGAGAAGTCTTCTGAGTGGCTGCTTCCCAAATAATCCGCGCAGGTCTTGCAAGCCTTCTGGAAGCTTGTTGTCTGAAGGCAGCCATATCCTACTGTTAAGTTTAGTCATTCTAACCATGGAATAATTTCAAGAAGCCCCCAAGGACATTGGCAAATGAAGGCCATGTATTTTAGGAGTTGTTACTCTGTCTTTTGGATCATAAATTCCTCGTGAATACTTATTTCATTGAATTTTATTTCCCAAACCTTGTTTACCTTGACTACTTTGGACCACACACTATAGCACAAGTTTAAATTTACAACTGAATGTAGACATGCTCTATGAAAATGCATGGTTCTAATAAATTCTAATTGATTTTTGTTTATTTGTAACAAAGGCATACTGGAGTAATACGCCAGTCAGTAATTGAGAGTGTGAAGCATGATTGTTGCAACCCCAGGCGTAGTTGACAGTGTTGCATATTTTTCTTGCTAGCCCTTGCATACTTGAATCACCAAAATATTAAAGTTATAGAGCAGTTCTTCGTTCAGTCATCTTGTAACCTAGCCCGTTATCTAGGCTCCACTTCATGCCTTGGTTTCATTTATCCAGCTTTTTGTCTAAATTCTCCTTACTTGTATACCCCTCCTGCTTCTGTTTTTCCGTGGCAGGGGTCCTTCCTGCATCCACAGCTCCTAACGCTCAGGAAGGCAAACACTGCCTGAACTGAGCTGCGTGCACGCCACCTTCTGGTTCCAAGTTCTGGAGCCTGATTCGCGTGATGACATGACTCTGAATATAGATGCAATGAAATGATTGATCTCACTTACTGCTTGGCAGCCTGCGTGGCCCTGTGTTGCTATAAAGATATTTTGGTCTAAGCATTTGTGGCCTGGTGAGAAAACAAATCTTGCTCAAGAGATCAGCTTTCTTCATTTACATTTTAAGAGTATAACCATGATATATTTATACTGTCATTTCTGAATAGAAATGAAAATAAAACCAAAGAATATTATCTGTCATGCTTAGATATATGTTTTACTTACTGTTAGTATCACTCATTAATCAATAACAATCATGACCACTTACTTTCAAATTAGTTATACTTGTAAAAACTTCGCATTGTGCATAAGACACGTGCACACACACGTGCGTGTGCACACACACACGCAAGTTTTAACATTTCTCAAGGTAAAGGAAACAAATAGCTTCCTTTGGAAGTAAGGACGATTCAATCACGTATCTGCGATCACATAGCCAGAAGTCTGTGAGCCGCTAAGCCCTTCGCAGACCCGTGCGCCGTCAGCCTCTCCACACTAAGGATCTCCCCTCGTATTTGCACAGTTCCTATTGGAACTGTATAAAAATTAACATTCTCTTTTAGACTGTGTCTGTTTGGTACCAAGAGTTCTGGTAAGTGAGTCAGCTAAACACAAAGCAAATCCATCAGCTCAGTTTTTGAAATTATGCTCCAAGCCATGATTTTGGTAGCATGTGGCCAAAGCTCGGTCTTGCAGCCGAGTACGAGTGTCCGGAGTCCTGGCGAGGACATTCATGCAGCTCTCCGGGGAGCACTCAGCTCCTTGTCACCGACTGCTAACTCACTTTCAGACAACATTCTGGAGGACAGACCTGAAAAGCCGTGCAGTGAGAAGCTTCAGTTTGAGTACAGCGAAGAGATCCCCAAGCGGATAAAGAAAGCAGATGGCTCTGCTTGCAACAAAGGGAAGGTAGGGGAGGGCTTGTGCTCAGGGATGCTTGGACCGAGGCTCCCTCGTCGCTTTCAGATGGAATTCCACTTCCTCCCTATCCTTTCTCTTCATCTCTACCTCTGTCCCTTAACGCCAGCACCCAAGGGGTGATAATATGGGACCCCTGCCTGCCACTGGGGTGGCTACTCATTGAGGCATCCACCCACATCTACCGAGGTGCGTGTGCGCCAGGCCCTCAAGCAGCACAGGAGCTGGTGCAAAGATGGGGACAGGCCTGTAGTCAAAACAAAGCACAGAGGTCTCGCTGTCAGAGAATGAAGCACAGATTCTCGGGCAAGGTTATGCTTGAGAAGGAAAGGCTGGCAGTCAGGCAGAAACAGGGCATTTGGTCAGCCTAAGGGACGGCCTGGTGGCTTGGGAATTGCAGGAAGCCTTACGGGCATTTGGATAACGCCTTTAAAGATAAATGGGGGCCAGATTGTAATCTGTTAACACAGGAATGACAGAGTGGAAAGACTGTTCAACATGCGGTGGATTATGGGACATGAAGAGGGACTGGGCCTGAGTTCAATCCCCGGTTCCACAAAAATAACTTGGGGCAGGGGAGGTGGCTCAGTGGATTAAGCGCTTCCCTGGCAAGCGCAAGGACCTGAGTTCAATCCCTGGTTCTGAAAAAAAAAAAAAAAGAGGGACTGGAAGGATGGATCGGGCTTGCCCCTTGTCCCCGGAAGCTTTTACGTCAGGAATGTGGTAGAACAGGCACCTGCAGAGGTGCGAAAGTGGGCCGCACGTACCGTCCAGTAAAATGGTGTCATCTTCCTGTGTTAGGTTTATGACATGGAACTGGGAGAAGAATTTTACCTCCCTCAGAATAAAAAGGAAAGCAGACAGATCGCACCGGAGCTTTCTGACCTTGTCATCTACTGCCAAGCAGTGAAGTTTCCAGGTAAGAGCGGACGCGTTGCCGTAACGTGTGAAGACGCCCAGTAGTGAAAGGTTCCTGCTTATCAAACTGGACCTTTGAACACTCCACAGGAACTAAACAGTGTGGCCAAAACAAGGGTCACAATTTGCTGTAAACATAAGCAAATTAGAATGTCTTCTGAAGCCTATTATAATTTGCTTTGATGCATGAGGAAAAATACCATAAAAATTCATTTTCCAGACCCAACAATGTGTTTTCATAAAAGTTAATATTTATAACATCTAATCATTAAAATGCATTAAACACTTAAGTACTAGATTTTATGCTAAGTATTTTATATAGATATCTTTGACTATGCATAATAGTTCTTTGAGGTTAGTTATTTTACCCCCATTTTTAAGTCAAGGAAAATCTGAGATAAAGTAATTTGCCCAAGGTTTCAGAATGTATCAGTGAAGATTCTTGATTGATAGGTACAAATAATTGACATAAGAAAAGAGGGAACCTTACTGACTCATGTTTTGAGCGGTGTGGAATGACGTGCGTTTCAGGTGCAGCCTGACCCAGGGCACGTGTTCGTCTCTGCCCGGGCCACTCTGTGGCCATCGTGTTGGCTTTATTCCCATGTGGCTGCAAGATGTCTGTACCAGGCTAGCACGTCACACTTCCAGACTCAGCTTTGCTGTAACAGCTTGTTCAGAACTTCCGGTGTAATTGTTTCTCCCAGGCGCTTTGCCTGAACCCTGGGCAATCACTAGTTAAGGAGATGCAGCGGCCAGATAGCCTGGGGCCCCTCTCACCCCGAGGCCCCACCCGAACCCCAAGGGCCAAGCAGGGTGCTGGGGGGTAGTTTCCCCAACTGGCCATTGCTACAAGGACAGCAAGCTTACGGTGATGAGCTACTTTAAGAGTGTTCGTTCTGTCCAGCAAATGGTGGATCTGTGATTTTGAAGCCTACCTCCAACATCCTGCCGGGAATCGCACATGACCCTGCCTTTCTTGACACAACATGTTATCAGTGAGCGCACCCAGCTGTGTGTCCCACAGATGGGAGACCAAGAGAAAAGCCAAGAAGACCCAGAAGTACATGCAAGTCAGAAAAAGTCTCTCGCTCGTGCCAGGTTACGGGTGCCTTCTGAGAGGTTCCCGAGGGCAGGCCCATGCGGCTGGAAAGCCGTGTACTTGGCCTGGGCAGGGGAGCCACGGTGCTGGCCCTCACCTTTGCAGGATGTTCTTAACTCAGGTCCTGCCTTCTGGAGTTTAGCTGAAGCCCCTGTCCTATGCTAGCCAATGGGACTGAGGGGTTGAGCTATTTAAGCAATTAGGTTCTAGTGACCTTTTCACGCACATGGGGGGTATCATAGATGAAATTTTCTGAATTTTAAGCCTTCTAGCAACTGCTTTGAAACTTCTGCCAGCTGCTGCTGCTTTCTGCTAACCAATGCTGCTGAAGACGATATGAGCACACAAGGGGTAACAGATTTCAAGCAAGTGCCAGAAGCTGGCACTTGGGATTTTACTGAGCTGCCTTGTGTCGTAGAGTGCATTGTAGTCACACTTTCACATAGCGGAGGTGTTTTATGGCGGAAGGAAATCCTTTGCCTGCCGCGGCTAGCGTATCCTCTGCTGGGATCAGGCAGGAGGGCAGCTCTGTCCAAAGGCCACACGACATCACTTATTCTGTGTAAATGCAGGTGACAGCACACACGTGCAAACCATTCCCTGGCTTTGTCGGTTCCCGCGCACTGAGAAACTCCAAAGCATAGAGTCCCGTAGATAGGTGAAGCCAGCCAGGTCTCTGCGCCATCAGAGACTCATAGGATGGTGAGAGGTCATTTGGTCCAGCTTCTGACCTGAGGCACAGGCTAAAAGCGTGTGGTTGGTTGATTTATTTTTAAAATTCCAAGTATGTTGTTTAAATGTGTTTATATAACATATATTTCTATGATTGTGCTGCTGGAATCACTATTATAAACTACTTTCTAGGGCCAGCCAGATAGCTCAGTGGACTCTAGCGCCTGCTCCAGCGGGACGCAGCAGCCAGGGTTCAATCTCTGGTGCTCGGCGCTGGCCCCAGCCTCAGGGCACACTGAGAGGGCGACTGAGCCTGGGCGTGGTGGTGCACGCCCGTAATCTCAGCACTTGGGAGGCTGAACGCAGGAGGATCGCTACCAGTCCAATCTATGTACTGAGACCCTATAGACCCTGTCCTAAAATTCACAAAATAAACAAACTACTTTCTAAACATTTATTTTTGTCATAATTTTGGTGTGCATGAGGAAAGTACCACAAAATGTTCATTTTGTTACTCCAGGAAGTTGGGCAAGTTTGTTTGATAAGTTACATTATCGGTCTCCGTGCATCTTGCCTTTTGCCATCCGAAGGTCTTTCTCAAGAAACATGAAATACCTGCAGAGCAGTGGGGTGCCCAGAGATCCTGTGGCCCACGGGCCAGAAAAGCAAAGCTCCTTCTCGGTGGCAGGGCCAGGGTCAGAGCTTGGTGCCTCAGTCCCAGCACTCAGCTCTTCTCCTGCATTATCGCTGGTCCAGCTTGCAGCTAAAGACCATCAGCTCCCTGTTCCCTAGGACTTTGGCCAACGCCCAGCCCCTCTCTGAGCTGCCGTTCACTCTTCCTAACATGCACACTCTTAAACACTACTCCACCCTGTGTTTGCTGATGATGTTCTTGGAAAGTGTATTTTCACATTACGGAAGCCCTCTATTCCTGGTTCAAATTAAGAAGCTACTCCCCACCCGTGTAATTACGGACGAGGGTGGCTGGGCAGCAGCTGTGGCTTCCCTGGAGCCTGGAACTCCCTCCTTACACTGGAGCCAGGTCTGTGTGGCTTGCTTCATGTCCTTGTCCAGCAAACATGCAGTAAGATCCTCTGTGTGCCAGGCTGTATGCCAGGCTGGAAGATCCCAAAGCTCTTGGGCCAGAAGGGAGGAAGAGAAGCCATGAAACTTTATCCTCACCTTAATGTATTTCCCATTTAATCCTCAGCCTAACCTATCCGTGAATTCCTACAATCACACCCATCTTGTAGGTACAGGGAACTGAAGGTTTGAGAAGGTAGAGTGTGGCGCCTCGGCTCACGCCACGCCTACTGAACCTCAGCAGTGCAGGCTGAAGCTCGCTTCTGTGGGCTTCCCTTCATCTCTCAAGATTGAACGGCCTCTGGGAATTCAGTATTGACTGCAACACTTTCTTTTCAATTTTTCAAAATCTTTCAGATGCACAACCAATTGGGTGTGTGTGTGTGTGTGTGTGTGTGCGCATGTG